TTGCAGACTTATCTTGAGCCATGTTTATATAAGCTGGAGGACTCTAAAAGAGCAGCACAACCACCTCCACACTCGCTGCTTTGCTTGTTCCTGCCTTCACCCCACTGTGAGCACAACTGAGTTGGAAAAAACAAAATAAAGTCTGAAAACAGGTGTTCTTTCCAACAGTTACCTGTTTGATCCCATGGCTCTTGTAAGGACAGGAGCCAAAGACCGGGAGAAAAAGCATAGGATACATGCCCACTGCTTGGTGGGGAAGCCTTGGGAGATCCTTACACAAGCACTGCCTGTAAATGCCTGTGGAGTCACAGCCACTATCACCTTGGCAAAGCAACTTTTCTTATTCTGGGGAACAAATGTGGCGTAAGAAGGTTGTCTCTCTGTCTGGTCATCATCCAGAAGCACAGATCTCAGAAACCCTGGGTGAGCATCCCCAGGTGCCACTGGGTGAGATAAAGCAAATCAAGACAAATGTGAAGAGAGACAACACTCCCTGAGGAGTTCTGACTCAGATGGGGAGGAAAAGAGTTTGCTCATAGCTACTACAGTTATGGTTCAGGGCCCTGTATAAGAGGTGAAATAAGTGGCACAGTTGGGTCATGGGAAGATAACTACAAGCCAGCTTAGCTACAAGCAGAGATAGCCTGTGACAGCCAGTCACATGCAGTAATTGCATGCTTCGCGTGACAGATAGCAGGACAAGAAAGAGCTTGTTAAAACTTAGAGCACAGGCAGTCCTGAAACATATACATGGGATCTTCTCCATTAGCCCAAGCATGCAACAGTATTTTTATGTCAGATTTATGCATTTTTGCCAGGTTTAAGCCTGGCTGCAGGACTGACAATTCACAGTCTGTTATGAAATGCAAGATTCTGGCCTGTGCTGTGAATTCAGTCTGGGTAGATCAGTTAGGCATGTGGAGTCAGAGAAAAGACTATGGCAGCATGAAATCACCCTTCCTTGTGTACAGGAGCAGCATACAGCTGGTGGAAAGCTGCCCCTTTTTGGCTCTGTGCAACATCTATGTGTGCTTCCCCAAGCTTTGGTCTAGCTACCTGCCTGAGCCTTGCCCGTGTGCTGGAATGAGGGTAACCCATTGGTCTGGGAGGCAGTACAGTATCCTGAGGAGGGAGAAGCAGCAGGATGTCACCAGCAGCAGTGTGTGGTGTGTGTGCAAGTGGGCAACCAGAGCTGTAGGAACACGTCCACCCATATGACATTCAGATGCAGCATGTAAGAACGTGGGTGTGCCAGCAGTGATCACGCAGAGCAGCTCTGACATGGAGGTGTGAGATAATGCTGGTGGAAGCAACAGAGGAGGAGAGGAGCGTAAGGTGGAGGAAGGCTGATTGTGTGGCATCCTTCTGTAATTGATCTGCTCCCAGGATCTGTTGTAATCATCAGCATGAGAAGAACTCATCAACATGAGGAGGACAGGTAGCCTTCCATGTCTCCCAACCACCCTCTTGCCTTGGGATCCCACCTGCAGCAGGAGAGCTAGCCTGTGCAAAGTCTCACTCAGCCTCACTCACTACTCTGTCCTATGATATTCCTCACCCTCACAGACTTTTTCAGCCAAGGAGAGAACCATTTCCCTAGAGTATGATGGGTGACATGTCTAACACTTCACACTATCAAGGAGGTCAAAATCACTCTCATATTCCACATAGAGAACGGGAAGGGAGACAGGAAATGAGATGCCCCAAGGCTATGGAATGAATCAGTAGTAGAAACAAAATGAAAATTCAGAACTTCCTGTCTCTTTACTCATCTCCCTGAATGCTGTTGATGATTAAGCTCATAAAAAGTTAGTGCAGTTGATGACCTCTACATCTCCGGTCAGTGATTAGGGCCCCAGCACATTAAATGCGGAAAATAATAAAACAAAGACAATTTCAACAAACTGAGAAAAAAAAATAGAGGGCAAGGAATTTCTTTTGTGGCTAGAACTTAAATGTTGGGTTCCCACAGTTCTTCTTCCAGTGAGGAAGGAAGTTTCTCTAGTTCTACCCCTATGGGTCCACTGAGAGTTGAAATTGGCTTAAGCCATAGGCACAACCAAGAGGCAATGCTTTGGTCACACTTCCTTCCCTCATACAGCTTCTTCCCCTCTCCCTTTTGTCAACACAGCTGCCCAAGCAGGCACATGATGAAGCAGCCCACAAACCTGATCAATAGTAACATTGAAAGTTCTTTTCCTTTCATGGGCTAGCTTTGCTATGTGTCCTGGCTCACTGCACAGCTTTATGAATGTTCATGCTGACACAAGGGATGAGATGCCAGAGAACAGGAATAAATGGCCAGAGAAAGGGAGGCTCAGCACCCCTCTTTCAGGAATGCTGAAACTGCTCAGGCAACTACAGCTGCTCTGTTCCCTCAACTGCTATGAGCACAACCAGCAGGGATGGGTACAACTGTGTCTGAGGGTGATGGAAATAAGTGCAGAGGCCCCCAACTTTCTCCTGCTTTGTTCCCAAATGGATGGAGCTGACTCAGATTTTTTGATGCTTCTTCTCAGTTTGTCATTAGAGAACACTGTGTTGCTCTGTGTGAGGTGACTCCCCACAGAGCTGAAATTGCCTTGCCTTGTGCTTCATTTTCATTATGATTTTTGATGGCTGTCTCACTCTGTCTCCTCAGGGCGCTGGTTTCTCTGTGAGGAAGAGTTAAAACGGACCACTCGTCTTCTTTGCAGTGGTTTTAGATTTGATCTTTTAACCTTTAGACTTTCCAAACTGGGCAAGTATACTGTGCTGGTGAAGAGCATGATGAACATGTGAACAGAGTGGTTTTGGCCGCAGCCAGAGAGGCTTTTTCCTCAAGAAATCAAGCCTTTCATCCTGCTACTTGTGTGGAAAGGAAAACGAAGGTGAGGTGGCATGGCGCTTCACCCTGGGAAGTAGCAGGAAGCTCTCTTGTGGCATTTACTGCTTTATGACTTGGGCTATACTTTTCAGGGGCACAAGAAAAGTATTACATACTGGGTATGGAAAACTTTTGGTTCAGAGTTTGGGCTTGAAAATCTTTCAGCATCCAGAAATACACAGTAACAGTCTCTAAGGTAGTATTAACATTACAGGAGGGGATTGTGGAGTTATAATAGACATGTTCCACAGAAATGTCTTAGTCATACTCAACAACAGTGAAAAAAAGGAAGTATCAGGAGAGGACTAGAAACCGGGACATCACCATGACACTGCATGGTGAACTCATCATGAACAGGATATGGAAATCCACTACCTTGTCTTACAAAAAGAAGGCATTAGATATGGAAATGGTTCAATGAAAGGCAAATACAGAATAGCTTCCATTCATGGTATCACTAAAAAGACCAGAATTTGCCAGCTGGCAAAAACTGAGGGGGAAACACAACACAACAGAAGTCTATAAAAAATTGATATAATGGAGAAATTGAATAGGAAATTATTCCAACACAAGAACCAGCAGGTTTTTTTTCTTCTTTTGCAATTTAGCACATGTTGGTTCAAAGCCAATGAACAAAGATGGTCTCCACGTAACATGCTAGTTTGGCTTTGTAACTCTGAGCCATAGTATACTGTAAGAGCCAGAAGCATGTATGAATCCACAAAGTAAATGGGCAATCTAATGAGAAAAAAAAATCATCAGATAATAAGAACTGCCATGACACCAAATGCTGCTAAAGAACACGCTGAGTTGTAGAGAATCGGCAGGATATCCCAGGGAAATACACTGGATGGTTGAAGTATCCTTGTGATCTTCCTTCGACATTTAGCACTGGCTGCATCTGCAGACAGGATGCTGGGGCAGACAGGCAATGGAGCTGACCTTCCAAGTCTTCTCTTATGCATAAAAAGGATAAGTTAAACAAGCCGTGTAATGCAAACCAGGCTGATGATAATGAACCTTTGTGGAAATCCACTTTTCAAAACCTACTGCGTCTCTAGACCTGATTGTACTCCTGTGTGCATGCACTGAGGTGGACCCAGTGTCAAACTCACTTGAAATAATTTGCCTTTCTCCAACTATAGGTTGCTGCATAGAGAAAAACAATTTCCTGGCCTAGGCTGGAGTTTCCTTTCTTTGTATCTACACTTTAAGTGAAAATGAAGTACACCATTAAACTGTTATGGTAATTCATCCTTACACTTTCTGCTCAACAGGTTTGCTTTGTTTCAAAAGTATGTTTCTGTGATAGTTATAGCTATGTATATGTAATTTTGTGGTTAAAGTAAAAGAGACAGGAAAACCTTGGTTCCCACAGGAAATGTAACTCGACCTCTTGCAAGCAGGTAACATTTTTGCCATATCAGTGTGATAAAGAACCTCAGTGAGAAACAAACCCTGCCAAGATTTACACCTGCGTGCAAATACCCAATGTATCTAGCTTGAAAGTGGTTAATGAGATTTTTCCATGATTCAGATTCTGCTGGAGGATTCTTCCGGGTGGGGCTGGGGCCTGAGACAGTCGTGTCAGTAAAAGATGTGATAAAACACCATGACAGTTGGGTCTGGTTCTGAGGGCTAGGATTTGACTCTCTTGCAGCAGAGGTCTCCGATGAGGCAGAAATATTTTTGCTGTAGGCCTGAGGTCTCGGGGCAGGGAGAAACTGACATTTTGCTGGTCATCTCACGGGGGATGGGAAGGGAAAATACCCCTACCCCATGGTCAATACCGGCCGTGACAGACCAACGCTGACCGTGCAGTCCCCCAGAGGCGCGGGGGATGCGGCAGGACCCCTTCCTTGCCCTCGCCGCGGGGCAGAAGGCAGCGTGGGCTGCCCGCAGCAGCCGGCCAGTGGCGCAGCCCCACGGCCCTGCCGCAGACACGCGTGGGGCTCCCCGCCGGCAGGGCCCAGGCACTGCTGGGGCGGGGAAGGGGCCGCCCTCGGTCGCCCCTGCCCCGCGGCGCTATTGTTGGGCGGCGGGGCGGGCAGGGCTGCGGGGCCGGTTCTCTTCCCTCCCGCGCTCCCTCCCTTCGTCTCTCTCTCTCTCTCTCTCCCTCTCCCCGCGAGTTTACCCAGCAGTGCTCTGGTGCAGGCGCGTTTCCGCCGGTTTTTCCTGTTGGAGAAGGGAAGGGGGAGCTGTTTTCTCTCTCTCTCTTCGCTCCCAGTATATTTTGTATCCCTTTTCTCCTCCTCCTTCTCCTCCTCCTCCTCCTCCTCCTCCTCCCCGGCTATCTTTGTCTGGCTCGCAACACCCCGCTCCAGCCCCGCGCCCCTGCCCCGCCGCCGCCGGGACGCGCAGCCCCTGCCCGCCGGTGCCCGGCACCGTTGGATGCGAGGGCAGCGCCGCGGGAAGGGCCGGGAGGCGACAGGGGCTCCGCCGCGCCGCTGGGCGTGAGCCGCCCCCCCATGCGAGAGCGGGGCCGCGGCTGCCACTGCCGGCTCCCGGTGTGAGCGCCGCCGGCCAGGCTGGGCCGAGCCGAGCCGTGCCGTGCCGTGCCGTGCCATGCCCGGGCGCGGGGCGCATCGTGAGGCTGCCAGAGGCTGCCGGCCCCGGCGCCGCTCCTGCCGCCGCCGCCGCGACATGGTGTGAGCCCGCTGCCGCCGGGGACGCGCGGGCACCCACCAACCCACCCACTCACCCACCGACCGGCCCGCAAGGATCCTCGGGGGGATCCAGCCCCGCAGTGCAACGCGGGAAGACAGACGGACAGACGGACAAACCGCAACACCCCCTCTCCTTCCTCCTTCCCTTCCTTCACCTCCCTCTCCCCCCCTCCTCCTCCCACCATCCATCTATCTATCCATCATCCCCCCCGCCAACCCCTCCCAATGCTGAAGAGTTTCAACCCGGCGGGGCTGGAGTGAAGAAGGGAAGGGCGGAAGGGAGGAGAGGAGAACAGCGGAGCGGAGCTTCGCGCAATTCACAGCTGCTCCAGGGAGGGGGGAGCGGCCTCGCTATTATTTAACAGAGAAGAAAAAAAATACTAAGAAAAAAAAAAAAAGGAGACGGGAAAATGGCGAACGATTCTCCTGCAAAAAGTCTGGTGGATATCGACCTTTCCTCCTTGCGGGTGAGTGCCGGTGCTGGGGGCCGGGGCGGGGGCCTCCCGGGGCCGGCGCGCCCCTTGCCGGGGCTGCCGGTCCGGCGGGGGTGGGAGCGGCCGGGCCGGGCCCGGGGCCGGTGCCGGGGCACGGGGGGCCCGCGGCCGCGTGGGGGGAGCCCTCCGGCGGGGGCGGGCGGGGGGAGCTCGGCCCTGGGCTGCTTTTCCTTTGTTTGCATGTATTGGCATGTGCGTGGAAAAGCAGGGCGCAACAGCTGCACGCCGCCAGCAGCCGGGCTCGCTGGTTGGGCTCTGCCAGCAGCCATCGCCTCACAAAAATGCAATAACCCCGCTTCTCTTCTCCCCCTTCTCCCCTCCCCCCTTGCCCCCTTTGCCCCTTCCTCCTCCTAGGATCCCGCTGGGATTTTTGAGCTCGTGGAAGTGGTTGGCAATGGCACGTATGGGCAAGTCTACAAGGTTTGTGCAGAATTTTTTCTCCTCTTATTGTTGCCAATTTTCCAGAGGGGTACCCGGTGCCTGCGCCGGGCTGAGCACACGGCTGCAGGCGAGCCACCCGCTGAGGCAAACGGAACAGTCAGGGGTGGTAAAAGTGTTGTCCTTGTCATTGTTGCTGGCCGTGACAAGTTTGTCAGCCTCTTGCCTTCTGCTTTTTGCAGAGGGGCACAAATTACTCTCCTAAGTACCCATCCTGAAATGGTGAAATAGCCCTTTATTGTCCTTATTCTACCCTGTGCTCCCTCTAGAGAAATGACCGAACCAAGTGGACCCTGTCAGAATGTGGCCGGGTTATACAAATAGGTCTACGGCTTATTCACATTTGCTGCTGGAAATCCTCATGGAAGTTTGTGCTGCTGCTGCTCGTGCTGCAGTGACTTTAGACAAAGACATTGGCCTTAATAAAAACTGTCACCCGGTTTCCTTGTTGGAAACCCTTCAAAGTGCTGAAGCTGTAGAGTTGGGGGCGGGTGCGTCCGATCCCACTGGGCTGTGCTGTGATGGGGGGTGCAGAGTGACAGTAATAAGTGATTGAAGCAGGGAAGCTTATTTTGTGAAAACCAGAATTCCCAGAATAACCTGTTTGACAAGTGTATGACTTTAGAAAATAGAAATCGGACAGTGCCCATGTGGGTGTGAAACTAGCCTACTTTTTTTTTTTTTATTTCTTTTTTCCGCTTTAGTGTGCAGTCAGTGGAACAAGCAAATCTTGAGATTGCATGACTTTGCAGTGAGTGTTAGCTACCAGGATGACTAATTATTCACACCGACTTAATACTTGGCTAAAGACTGAAGGCTCTAGTCTTAAACTGTAAAAATGCAAGATACATTTGGAGAGGGAAGGAGAGATAACTGAAAGTAGCTGAGGATGCCTTGGCTGCGTCGGGGTTTTTTGTTGGTTTTTGTTGTTGTTGGATTTTTTGTTTTGGTTTGGGTTTTGTGCTTATAAATAAGGCAGTGTAATTGGTGCCCCTTCTGCAAATGAAACGCATGTCAGTATGTTTTGAGGGCGTGAACCTCAGCCTTCCTAATGGAGAAGTAGTCTGCCTGCTCAGTGTGTGAGTTGCATTTTAAGACTTGAGGTGGAATAACCAGGCTGCTGCTGTTGGCATAAAGATGGAAAAAAGGATGTGGCTCAAAAAGTCAGAGGAGAGGGGGGAGATGAGTAAGAAGCTGCACTTTGACACAACCATGACCATTTAATTTTTTTCTGACATTTTTTGTCTGATAATTGAAATGACACGATTTAATTTTTTTCTGTAATCCTTTTGCTCCCAGAGCTTGCATGAGCTGAGCCCTTCTTAAAAAAAAAAAAAAAAAAAAAAAAAAAAAAAAAAAAAAGAAGTAGGGCGTGAATGTGTGACTTGAAACTCTCCGGTTAATTATTGCAGTTTGGTACATTGTTTCTCGGCTGGCTTGTTAATGCTTTGAGTTAATGAGCAAAGTTTTCCGTGGTTTAACAGTCTTGACAATAGAAATTTTAAATTTATTTTTTCTTAGGTATGCTAGAACTCTTCCAGAATAGTTAGCATTAGAAATTAAACTCAGCACATGCATTTGGAAGAGCTGAATGAAGACCTGATGTCTAAGGGCATTGCATCGGTGTCACTGATAACAGGGGGAGCAACAGGCACTCTCCTTGCTTGCTATAGAGTCTGCCAGACAGTAGTGGATTGACAGTTGTTTAAGTTTGGGTTGGCACTGCTGCTTCTTCTTAGGCATTTGCCCACATTTATATACATAGACCGATAATGTGGACACCTAACAGAGCTTTACATAAACAAAAAATACTAAACCAAAAGACTTCCTTGCTGTGATAAACATCCTTTGCAGGGCTAAGGGTTGGACTCAATGATCCTTATGGGTCCCTTCCAACTCAGCATATTCTCTGATTCTGTGATCTTTCTTCTTAAAATAATGAAGTTATGTAAAGAAAAAAAAAATGTTGTAATAGTATTTAACTTTTCTTGGCCACTTTTTTGTTATGAAAAATCTTTCAGGGACACCCAAAGGTGAAACTGTGTGTGTACATTTTGAGGGCTTTCGTAGGAACTGCATAAGCAAGGGAAAAATGTGGTTACGCTGTGTTTGCTTGTTGCTTTCCGCCTTCCTCCTTCCCGGCAACCACTTCTTGAAATCCCTCTTCCTGGATGGTTTTATTTCCCTTTTAAGCGGTCTGCCACCCCGAGGGACTGGGGGGTGGGGTGTAGGTTGCCTTTGAGGAGCCGTGCTCCGAGATGTAGTTTGATGTACTTCCACATTCGAGTATAGGCATCAGCGATGATGTCACCCGGGAGCGGGATTGGCTGGCTACCTGCCACTGCGGGGAGGACACGGAGGGAGCGGGAGAGGGCATGACGTTATCTCTTTGTCTAGCTCATACACCCCGGCGATGATGCCGAAGGTCGTTTGCCTTGCTGGGGAGTCTGCTTTCCAGCAGTGGTGGGAAGGGGACTGTGCCGACCTGTTGAAAAGCAGAAAACAGCCCTGTTTTTCTCCTCTTTGCCTTAACTGAGCTTACTATCTCTCTAGCAAGTGATAGTTCTGTAGCTAGTTCTACCTTAGCTTTTTATTTAGCTGTATAGATATATAAACAAGCAGGAAATGTGAGGGCAGCACTTGGATATTTGGCACCTAAATGCAAGTGGAGTTACTCCCTGTCACAGAGCAGTGTGGACCCTCCTGGGATTTTATGCCATTAAATGGGTTGGCTTATGTGAAGTGTACTGTGGGCCTGAGACCCTGGCAGTGAGGTATTAAAAATACTAAGTTTTATTCTGCTGTGCTTAAATTGGGATAATGACTTTAAACTGAAAGAGGACAGGTTTAGATTAGATATTGGTAAGAAATTCTTTGCTGTGGAGGTGGTGAAGCACTGGAACAGGTTGCCCAGAGAAGTTGTAGAATTTGTAGGCCCCATGCCTACAAATGCTCAAGGCCAGGTTGTGATTGGGCTTTGAGCAACCTGGTGTAGTGGAAAGTGTCTCTGCCTATGACAAAGGAGTTAGCACTACATGACCTTTAAGGTCATCTTCCAGCCCAAACCAGTGTGTGATCCTATGATTCTGAAATCTACAGAGTTTACATTATTTTCATCTTTGTAACCTTGCTTACACCTCTCCTGTGTGAAGAAGTCTTGCCTTTCTAGAGGAGCTTATTACCAAGTGGTAAATTGGGGCGGGGAGGGGGGGTGTGGAGAAGAGCCTGAGGTTCCCCAGCCCTGGGTAGCTAAAATAAAGGGGTATTTTTGGGGAAGCCTTTGCCAAGCGCAGGGCAAAGGGCAGCGGTGGGGTGGCTTTTTTGTCCTGCGGCCAAGAAGAGCTCCTCTACTGCTCCTCTAAAATCCCGGGGAATGAAAGTCCGCATGGAAGTTGTTTGCCCTTTCATAGTTGGTTCAGACCCCGAGAACAATGGCGTGGAAGTTACATCGCTTAGGTTAGTTAGAAAGCAAAGGGTTAAACGCTGCCAAGTACAGCCGGCAGCGTTCCCTCGGAGCCGAGGCAGGAAGGATCGGCCACAGAACCCCCTGGGTCGGCAGTCTTAAAACTTTTAAGGAGCCCCGCGCCTCTGCTGGCGTTGGGAGGGAGGAATTTCCCTTGAGTAGGTCGGAGTCAGCTGGCGGGAGCCGAGCGGCGTGTGCGGGCCGGCCCGGGCAGCGCCCTGTGCCCGCCGCGGGCAGGAGCTCCCACCGCGGCCCCGCCGCCCCTCCTGCCAGGGCCACCTTCCGCCAGGGGCAAGCAGGGGAGGATGCGAATGGCACATGACTCGGCAAGAAATAATGGTGTTAGCGTGCAGTTGTGCTTTTTGTGCCTGCTGCTGGTTTGTGGTGTGGTTGCCATGGGGGATGGATGTGCCGCCCCTCTTCTTTCCTCTTGAGTGAGGCCAGTCCTGCTTCGGTGTAAGTGGAAGTTGTAGCCAGCTCACGAAGTGATCGGCTGCCTTAAGGGCTTTTTTTGATCTTTTGCAAGTAGTGGAGAAGCATTTTTAGCATTGCTGCGGTTAGATTTTAGTTTTTCACATCCAATAGTAAGCTTAATTTGAAGTTTGGCTCGCACCAAATGAAAACACTCCTGAACTTGGTCTCAAGATAAGGTTCAAACTAGGTGTTTGCTTCCCTTCTGTATTTTTTTTTCCGTTGCTGTTTTAATGCAGAAATCACGTGTGAACTAAAGGCAACTGGGTAATACTTTCAAAATTTTAAAGTCTCTACCGTCTGATCATTCATACAGGCTTCTTAATTTTGCTATTGAGACTGAACTGTGTTAACTTGCTAAGTCACTTCTTTT